CTGGCTGCAGGTTCAGGTTTGCACCCAGCAGGGAGAAAAAGCTGGGAAAGAAGGTGTGGATCCATGAGGGGGGTGAAAGTTTAGGGAGAATTCTTATTTCATGTAGAATTTAGAGGACTTAGACACTCCCAGAACTCAGGAGTGCCAGGACTGGATCCAGAGCTGACTGACACCAACAGTTCCCACCACTTTGAGGAAAAGCTGAAGTTTTGGGCTGGTCCTGCCAGGCAGATACAGCAGAGCAGGGCCTGGATTTGGGATTTCCCATTGTATTTCAGCTGTGGCCATCAGGTGGCAATCTGACCACTGGGATCATTCTGTGCTGGAGGCACTTTGGGGTGGGTTCTCCTTGGGCTTTCCAAGGTCCTTTGTGATTTCAGGTCGTGTCTGCCAAGCTCTGCGCTGTGCCTGCTGTCAGCTCCTGCCCGGTGCAGGGCACAGAGGGATGAGCAGCGAGGCCCCTGCAGAATTCCCAGGGGGTTAAGGCAGGATGGAGGGCAGGAATTCCTCAGGATTCACCTGAATTAATGTGAGATGAGCAGCACAGCACCCCGAGGTGATGAACTCTGGCAGCAGTAGTTAAGCACATCATTAATGGGAATATTTCCTTCTTGCTTGAGCAGGGCTGGGTTTTCATGATCTGATCCAGCTCCTCTGGCCTACAAAAAGGTCAGAAAAATAACTTTATTTTTAGCCTGAGTCCATAGAAATGGAGACTGAATCCTGTCACCCCAGAGTTAGAAATGTAGTTGATTTTGTTTACTGGAGGTGTGAAATAAAGAATCATGGAATCGGAGAATGCCTTGGGTTGGAGTGACCTTAAAAATTATCCAATTATCTAAAAAATTATCCAATTATCCAAAAAATTATCCAACCCCACTGCCATCAGCAGTTCCCACTAGAACAGGCTGCTCAGTGCCCCTCAAGGTATTGCTCAAAGTGCTCCAATTTTACCTGTATCATTGTATCCATTGTATCAGGAATGGTTTGGTTTGGTTTGGTTTGGTTTGGTTTGGTTTGGTTTGGTTTGGTTTGGTTTGGCTAGTTTATTTTCTTCCCTGGGTAATGTTTCTAAATGGAAATCACACACTTCAGGAACCTCAGGACATCCAAGGACCTGTAAAGGTGGTGGTGATGTCCCTCTTTGGGCTGGAAAAGATGTTTGAGGTCACCCCACTGCTCTTTCTGTTAAGCTAGAAGATGGAAACAAATCCCAGGAAGTCCTGGACTAATTAATATTTTCCTGATAATAATAATTTATTATTATTATTATTACTACTACCACTTAACAAGCAATTCTAGACAACATGGAGGTTTTAATACTTACATGTGATTGTAAACTCACAGGTAGGAGTGAGCTGCAAAGTTTGGATAATGGTGTAAAAACCCTTCCAACACCCAGTTAATCCCTAAGGAAAAAGCACCTGTTTGTCTGTGCCTGTGTTAGCCATTCTTAGCTACAGAGTTCTCTCTGAATATTTGTATTTTCTACTGTTCTGCTTGGATATTTCCTTTGGGCCTGAGGCTCGAGGTTCTGTTCAGTGGGTGGCTGTCATTCTCCTCCTTGCTTAGAAAATAAAAATACCTGGGTTTCACACAAATGTTGAATTATCCAGGTTAGTGAAACTCAAGATTGTGCTAGTGATCAGGCACTGCCTGAACAATAGAAATTAATTCTTGGGATCATCTTTAAATGTAAAAGTCAAAGAAGCTCTTTGCAATCTGTGAGTGTAAAAAAATGCTCAATCATTTTAGATAATTGGGTATTTCCACAGCAGAATTAGATCTCTAACAGCAACAATAATTAAAACAGAACTAATGACAATAATGATAATAAAAATAATAACAAACATATTAAACCCCAAATACAACAAACCCACCCCAAAACCTAACACATTATTTCCCCTACCACCATTTCCTTTAACATCAGCCTTGCTTTTGCTTTCATTACAGCTGCTAAATAGATTATTCATGAGGTCTCTCACCACCACTAAAGCATCCCTCTCATTGTTGCCAGCCCCTCATTGGTGTCACACAGATTTTCAGCGTCTGCCCATATCTGATTATCTGTGGAAACAACCTTTCAATGAGCCTTTTTATCGAGTCATTTCGCCGGGGAGCTTTGAGGGACTAATTTTAGTTTCATGACAATAACAATAAGGTCAAGTTGTATTTCTGTGCTGCTTTTCACCCAGGCAGGCATTCCAGAGGGGCAGATGTGGGGCAGCGTGGTTGTCACTGTTGTCACCACGGCCCCCAGCTGAGTTGGGATGGAGCTCAGGAGAACTGGGGATTGTTCCTAGAAAATGAGATGTTCTCTGTTTTTTTGGGTTTTTTTAATGTGTTTTTATAACTTAACCAGTGGTAGGATATTTGGGATAATGCTGAGAGGAGCCCCACAGGGGAGAAGGGTTTCAGTGGGGACAATCTAGAAAATTTTGTTCAATAATCAAAACTGAGCCCCAGCTGTCGGATTCCCCTAAATCCATGGAATAAACTCAACCTGTGGAGAAGATCAACTCGCTCACCTGTGGGGCTCAGCCTGGAGAAAAGAAGGCTCAAGGGGGACCTGTTTTCTCCACAGTTCCCTGACAGGAGGGGACAGCCCCAGGTCAGGCTCTGCTCCAGGAACAGGGACAGGAGGGGAGGCAACAGCCTCAGGCTGGGCCAGGGGAGGCTCAGCTTGGACACCAGCAGGAGTTTCCCCATGGAAAAGGTGCTCAGGCCTTGGCAGGGGCTGCCCAGGGAGGTGCTGGTGTCACCATCCCTGGAGGTGTCCAAGGAATGCCTGGAGGTGGCACTCAGTGCCCTGGGCTGGTGATAAGGTGGGATCAGTCCCAGCTTGGACTGGATGATCCCAAAGGTCTTTTCCAACCTCAGTGATTCTGTGAAATCCCCCAGGCAGTGCCCAAAAAAGGAGCCAGGTTTGGGCACGGCTGGGATTTTCTCTGGCTGCTAATCAATGCTGGGCACAATTTGTTGAACTCAGCACTGGGACGTGCTGAGGAACCCAACGTTCTGCCTGGCTGGGATTCAGCTCCCACAGATGCCACCTGGAATCTCTGGTATCAGACCCAGTGTGACCTGAAATTGTTGTTTCATTGTCATTTTGTGCCTGTTGCCAGTCCCTGGTCATTTAACAAATGAAAAGACACATTTACCTGTCTTTTGATGATTTCTCTTGAAATATGAGGTCAGTCAGGGGAAGGATCAGCTTCACTTTTAATTAAAATTTAATCACAACTGTCCTGGTTGTCCCATAGAAGAAATTAAATTAACAGTGTTCAGTAGTAAGGTATCTTTATACTTTACTTGTATCCTCTGGAAATTTTCACAGGTTGTGCTCCAATAAACCAGTTTTGCTCTTCAACTCAGTTGGAATTCCTGTTCCTTAAGTGCAAAAGAGGCTAATCATAGAGCAGAAAATAATTTGACTTGCTAATACTGGGTGAGAAAACATTTACTGCAACCACAAATATTTTCAGGATGATGGAGTATCTCATGTTCATGAAAGCTTGGTTTTGGTGACATGTTTGAGTAGGGAGGGCTGCACTTTCTAGCAGAGGAAACCCATGTCAACTGCAGCAGGCAGCTCCCTGTTCTCCTCCAAAAACTGGAGCAAAAAAATGTTGGCAGAGGAATCAAAATCCTCCTCTTTAGTCGAGTCTGCCACCAGATTTCTTAGGCATGAACTCCGGAAAATCTTTATTAGGCAAAAAAAAAAAAAAAAAAAAAAAGAAATAGAGGGGGAGATGTGTCTTGCAGACAGAAGGTGCATTCTGAGGTTAGCAGGGAGATGAATTATAAATACCTCAAGTCGAGCCGTGCTTTTCCAGCTATTCTTCCCTGATGGTTCCTAGCTGGGAGCCAGTGAAAAGTGTCACTTTGGTGGGGTGCTGCTCCCCCCTGGTGACATCGGTGGCCAGGCACTGACTGTGCCCCACAAAGCGGCGGTTGTTGGGTTTGTTATCGTGGCGGGAGCTGCTGGGCACGCCCCTGCTGCCTCCTGGAGACAGGGCAAATCTGCTCCCAAAATACTCCAGCTTCTTCTGTTGGGTGACAAATGGTGTTTTTCTTTTCCCCCTTTCATGTTTTGCTCCCCCGCCACCACTGTTTTTTGCTTTTCGGATGAGAAAACACCGTTTTCATTATATGGATGGCTTTGCTTAGAAATTTATTCCCCTTGGAAAAACCCCCAAACTTTGTTGCCATCTGTGTGTCCAGGGTTTTCATTTGAGGGCAAGGGGGAATTGGCATCACACTGACAGAGAGTAGGGCTGGATTAGAGATTAGCAAGGAATTCTTCCCTGGGAGGGTGGTGAGGCCCTGGCACAGGGTGCCTGGAGAAGCTGTGATCCCTGGAAGTGTCCAAGGCCAGGTTGGATGGGGCTTGGAGCACCCTGGGATAGTGGAAGGTGTTTCTGCCCATGGCAGGGGGTGGGACTGGATGGTTTTAAGGTCCCTTCCAGCCTGAAGCACTCCAGGATTCAGTGATTGCAAAGCAGTGATTGTGTTACACCTGCAGGGGTGCATGGCTGAGCTGTAGCTGGGAGCACACAGCTGCTGGTGTGGGAGACACTGAGCAGAAACCCCCAACACCAGGCAAACACTTCTTGCCAAACTTGGGTTTTACCCTAATTTATTTATGGTTTTTAAATTTTTTCCCCGCTTTTACAAAATACACTGAGCCAGTTAAAGCGAGAAGTGGCTAAAGAGAACCTCAGGCACCTCTTCTGTGTTTTCTTGCCCCTTTCCAAAACTGAGGTGCAAACAGCAGAGGTCCCCTGACCTCGTAGAGCACACCAGGCTGCAGTGAGCCTCACCCACCCTTCTGCAGCACCCCGTGGTGACCAGTGCCCTCACCTCAGTTCCTCGAGGGAGGTTTTTGTCCTTTAGAAAAGCGTGCGAGCTCGGCTTAGCCAGACTTTGTCCCAGGGAGAGATTAACCAATGTTCACGTGAGTATCTCAGTGTGTTTTGTTCTGCTGTTTCCCCTTTTAGGTGACAGCGAGATTGTAAATAATATGTACGAGACCGACCCCGATCTCCTTGCTGGAGAAAGCGCAGAGGAGGAAACTGAGGACAGTATAATGTCCCCCATCCCTGTGGGACCTCCGTCACCCTTCCCCACCAGTGAGGACTTCACTCCCAAGGAGGGCTCACCCTATGAAGCTCCCGTCTACATTCCTGATGACATTCCAATCCCACCAGATTTTGAACTCAGAGAATCTTCGATCCCAGGGGCAGGGCTAGGGATTTGGGCCAAAAAGAAGATTGAAGTTGGGGAAAGATTTGGACCCTATATGGCAGTACAGAGGAGCACATTAAAGGAAACAAACTTTGGATGGGAGGTAAGCGTGTGGAATGTGGGCACCACGTTCCTTTGTCTTCTCTGCCAAGTGTTCGTGGAGCTGGACTGAGGCCTGGTGGCCTGGGAACAGAGGTGGTGACTTTGCTGATGCCGTGTTTCCCTGAGTAACTTCCCACCCCCATCACCCAAAGGATTTAAAAATCAGCAGAAATCCCTTTTAAGTTCACTTCTTGGGCCACAAAAACTGCCCGAGCACCCTTTTGGAAGTCTGTTTTTGAATGATGTCGGGTCACTTCATCAAGTGCTTGTCATTTCCAAATTGTGTTCGGGAGTTGTCGCGTGGAGGGAATGGGATTGATCGCATCATGTTTGGTGGTTGGGGGTGTTACCTTTGACTCCCAGCCCGTGTCAGCAGTGCAGGCATTATTAACTGGGCAGGGAAAAATAGCATGTACCCATTAACAGCCCCGATGTTCTCGAGTTCTTGTGCTGCAACAAAGATGAGAAATGTGAAAGTCATTTTCCCCCAAGAGCTGAACAAAACCCAGCCTTCAGCAGGAAAAAAGCTCTGTCCCACACCTCCCATCTTATCTTTTCTCCCTGTCCCAGAAATCATCTTAGCCTCTTCTGCTCTTATAGCCTTGATTAGAAAATATATAGATCCACAATTATCCTGGAGTATTCATTAACAGTGAGGTGTATCCTGGGATTTCTGCTCTGTTCTCACAGTCCTATCCCAGTGGCCATTATCCAATATATAATTCCTCGTCTCTCCCCCAGTGGCCATCCCAACATTCCACCCCCTGCTGCCATGGGAGCTGCTGGCTCTTGTCCTGAGGAAGAGGCTGTGTCTGGGGCAGTGGGATCAGAGAGGTTTCCTGGCCGGATTTTGCTGTAGGATGGGTGAAGCTTGTCCCAAAAAGTGGGATCTGAATTTTCCCTCATTTTTCCCTGGGTTGAAGCAGTCACTTGCCCCATTTTTTCCATCAGCCACGACTGGGATGAACTGGTTCACAAAATCCTGGAGGATTTACAGGGTGGGAAGCAGTTGAGGGCTGGAACTGTAATATTTTCCCAGGAGAAGGCACCAGTGCAGTGACAGAACAGTTTTCTTAGAAACAGAGGTCAGAAAGGCCAGGCTGAAGCATTAACAGTTTTAATTTTCTCTGATTATATTTGCACTCTTGATTATGAAGTAAAAAATGAGTGAGCAGTGAGACCCAGCGAAGCCCAGAGAAGCAGGACCAAATGTTTTTGTTTTGTTTACTTTTCTCAATGTGTCTGAAGTGCAGGAAACAGCAAAAACCTCCTGCTTTAAGAATGAAACTAAATTGTGTTTTGTTGCTCTGCAGTAGGAAGTGTCTGAAGAGCTAAAATCGGAGTTTGGTTGAATGACTGAGTGGAGTTTTCCTTTTCCTTCTATCCTAGTGCAGGGAAAAGAGGATAATTCAGCTGAGTTTTGATCCCCTCTCTCCCCTCCAATGACATTCCTTGGAAATTCCTCTTGGTGTTGGCTTCTATTGTGAATATCATTGCAGAATATTTTATTAGTAGTACTGTATAAGCATCAAAAAGTAGGGTTTTTTGGGGGGGAAATCCCTTTTATTTTACTGGCAATACAGGGTCTGGTTCAGGGGGGCTGTAGGTGTGAGAAATTCAAGATTCCTGGGGAAGGTATTGCTCACTTCCAGGTGTCTGAAAATAAGGATAATTTTCCTCTAGGAATATGCCATATTAATTATTTGTAGACTGCAATGTGAAAGATGATTCCTCTTTTATTTTTTTTTATCTAGCTATTGCTAGGTGGCATTTGTTATTTCAATTTATAGTTTTGTTTCTTATTTTGTTTAAAGGCTGATTTTTAGGAACAAAATGCAATCCTCATTGCCTGGCAGAAGTGGAATTGTTCAAACCTTTTTTTCTCTGACCTTGGCAAAACATTGTCCTTGCGTTTCATAATTCTGATAAAAGTTGCTATTTACACTCATGATTTTCAGAAAGGTTCCTCACATCCCCACTGCTCTGCGTGCTCTGATAGGAGCTGCATTTATCAATTCCCGTTGACTTTGTGATACTGTTTGTTTTTGTAGTGTAATTGAGCAAACTTTCCCTCTCCGGGCACTTCTCCTGCTCCAGCGGCGTTCCTTTGTCCCCTGCTGTGGCAGGGACATTTCACACCTCAAAGGAAGGGTTTGTCCTCCCTCAGGTGTCCCCAAACCCACCCCAGCACTCCCTGCTTGTCCTTGCAGACACCTCTTGAATTTTCCCATTCCCCAGAGTGTTTAAGGACATTTCAGGGCTCTGTTTCCAGAAAGTGCCTTCAGAATTCTATTTGGGAGCAACACCATGAATCCCTTCATGCACTGGACAGGAATTCATGGAATAAGTTCTGTCTGCTGGGTGTTGGTGTCTGAGCCCTTCCCTTGGGAAGGTTGGGAAAGCCCTGAGAAGTTCCAGGCAGCTCTGCCTGATAGATTGGGAAATGGGAGTTTGGGATGTTCCAGGCATCTTTACCCCATGGCAAAATGGGAAATGGGAATTTGAGATGTTCTAAGGAGCTCTACATGATGGCAAATTGGGAATTGGGAACTTGGGATGTTCCAGGCAGCTCTGCCTGATGGCAAACTAGGAAATGGGAATTTGGGATGTTCTAGGCAGCCATATCCCATGGCAAATTGGGAAATGGGAACTTGAGATGTTCCAGGCGGCTCTACCCCATGGCAAACTGGGAAATGGGAATTTGGGATGTTCTAGGCAGCTCTGCCTGATGGCAAATTGGGAAATGGGAACTTGGGATGTGTTTGCATCCTCTGCTCCTAAAATTGAGTAGGCAGGAAATGGGCAATGACTGAGAAAAAGGGAAAGGGGAGGAGTTTTTTGTAACCCAGCAACTTGTTGTTTTTTGCTTCCATTTGCTTTCAGTGGTGATAAATTCAACAAATCTGAGATTTGTAGGATCACAAGGAATCTTCCTTCTGCAGTTTAACGTTGGTTATTTGGTCAGTATTCCTCTGGAATTTGTAGTTTTGTCATGCAGTGACTTGTGGGTTGAATGCTGGTGTAAGACTTCCACACAACTCCTTGTTATGGCCAATTAGAATATATTCCATTTGAATTGCCTCTCATATTAGTAATTTACTTTAGGAATGATGCCTGTTCTTCACACCCAACCTCTTCCCTATTCACATTTCTCAATTAATTTCCTGTAATTTATAGTCTTGTTAATCCCACTTTTTGTGTACACCTCACTCTCCAAACTCTGAAAACCTGGCCTCTGTATTTGTTTGTTTGTTTTTAGGAGTCATCAGCTCCTTAACTTGAACAGTGCTTCTGCCTTTGGCACAAGAAGTTCTTGCCCTTCATCGTAGGAAATTTGGTGTCAGGCTTTGACTAAACTGGGAGTTCACTGGAAGTGGAATTGGCTGCAAAGTGGTCATTCCCCAGCACCATCTCAGTTTTGTTACAAAAAGCTGATTTTGTTGTCATACAGGGTATGCTTGATAATTAATGTCTGTTTCTTCTGATTTCTGCATTAAAAAAAAAATAAAAAGACATTTTGGGGTTTTAAAATGTGCTATTGAGAGCTTTGATGTGAGAGTGGAACTTTCTCTTCTGCCTAAGCATTAGCACTGCAGAAAAAGCTTTCTCTTTTCAAGCTCCAGTAGGGACAGATTTGTAAAAATGAAAATGAAACAGGGCAGTGAATTGTGCCTCAAACTCCTCAGGAAATTCAGTTTGTGTTTGGAGGCAGGGCCAGCCCTGTTTCCATCTGAACTCCTCACTCCAGACCTGCTGAAACTTCCAGCTTCACTCGTGAATAACCCGAAACATCCATGGGAATGCAGAATGCTGTGTTTTGTCTGCCATGCCTCGAAAAAAGCTGCGTAATTATCTTTATTATGGGTGTTTTTCCTTTCAGGCAGAGAGGAGGGCTGGGTGCTGATGGTTTGAACACGTGTCCTGCCTTATCTGCAGCACAGCCTCATAGCTGGCCTCCTGCTTTGCTTTGTGGGATACATTTTAAAAAATATTCTTTGAATTAAACCACACCTATCATTCAAGGGCTTCTTTGGACACGGGATGGCAGCGAGTGATTCACTCTCATCTCATAAAAATAAATAAGATGTGTCAATCCTGGCCCCCAGCCCCTCCCAGGGATGATTCAGTGCAGGACCTGTTGGGTGCTTTCCCTCATTCCCTGACACTGCTGTGCTGATGGTGTCATTTCACCTTTATTTTTTATTTTTTATTTTTTTTTGTGTGTGCCTTGAAAGACATCACCCCACCTAAAAGCCCTGTGATTATTGAGTGTGACCTGATTGCATTTCTCCTGCTCCCATTGCCCTCCTGCCCGCTGACACTGCCAGCACCCGGAATAAATCATGGCACTTTTGTGCTTTATGGCCTCTGGGACCCGAGGAAAATGAAAATAAAATAATTACATAATGATTTTGATCGCTTTGGAGAAGTAATGGTATTTATCACGGCGCTGTTAATTTTCCTAATTGAGAGAAGAATGGGAATCTCATCCTGGAGGGAGATTTAGCACCTGGATTTTAGGAGTCGTGATTTTAGCTCAGTTTGCCTCACAGGATAAACAGCACTGATAAATGCAGTTTGTTTTCATTTATATTTTAATTTATATTTTAAGAGAGGTTGTTTGCTGAAGCACAAAGACTTCTCTCAGCTGAAGTGTCAGAGCCAGGCTGCTCCTTTACATAGAAAAAAAAAAAATAAATGTTTTCATTTCCTACCTGGGTGGGGGGGAAGGTAAGAGCCTGTCCCATGGCAGACAAATATGGGAAAAAATAGGAGCCAGCAGCTGAGGATGCAGCAGAGTTCTGGGCCAGGGAAGGAAACTAAAAACTAAACTAAAACTAAAACTGATGGATTTTGAACACACTTTAAGCTGTCACTGACTCACAGCAGTCCAACCTGCAAAATTTAAATTTTTAGCAGGGGATCTATTTTATTCTCTCTGCTTTTTTAGAAATACTTCAAAGTTCCAAGGGAAATTGGCTTTACATGAGTAGCCTTAAA